AAGGGAAGCGGAAAAGAAAAAGGCTAAAGAACAAATTACGTCAGGAAATAGAAGCACATATGAAAAGGATCAATAACAACTGGATAAAGCTAGAATAGATTGCTCAGAACAGGGTTGGATAGATAGCGCTGGTGGGTGGCCTATGCTCTTCTACGAAGGATAACAGGCGTAAGTAAGTAAGTGGGTAAGTATAGATCAGTGTTTGAAGTCGATGTTAGCTAAGTAAATGGAACGTAAAGTAAGCATGTTTTTATTCTTCACTACATAGAATTGTATAGTTCGAATACACAATACAGTTGCACAATTTATTTGATGTTGTTTCAAGTGAAATGTTAATTCATATTCATTATTTTCAAAATTAAAAAGAAAGTGATTAACTAAGGTAGTTATTGTTACATAATGATGAAGAATACAATTGCAATCAGAGAATAAGAAGATTACATAATCAAGTGAAAAGAGTTTAAAATATAATTTACAAAATCAGTTACTTAAAACGTTGGAGTCAGTCAGTCGGTCAGTCAGCTACAACGTAGAACCAGGCACATATATGCATCGGTTCAAGTTGCCATACCTCATTAACACAACAAGATGAACACCGAATTCATAGGAGTAGTCAAATCAAGGGTGCTGATATAGAAAAGAAAGATTGCAATAAGGGTATAGTACAGGAAGAAAGATTTAGTACGTAGAAATAAAGATATGAAGCGATTTTAATCTCTTAGTTTAAGGGAAGACAGTGAGTGTATGCACCTACGCCATTGTGATCGATTCTGACCCGTATCACTCAGGGTCTCCAATCATTGGTTACGATAGTCACGCGAACATCAACCAAGTAGTCTGCATCTACCAACATAGTTCAGACTGGAATTTAGTGACTTCAAGGACTGATGCCACGTTTTGGTTTGGCCGCCCCTAACTTTCTTCCAACCGTCCCCAACACTAGTCTACATTGAGCATCGTGGTAATCGGTGTTCAAGCGTACATGACACGTGAACCAACCATCTCAATAGATAAAGATTCACAATCTCATCAACTGATTTACCATCGTTCCCTAATACCCTGCGTCTAAACTCACTATTACTTACCCGGTGATCCCAGCGGTTGCAAGCAATATTTCTAAGGCATTTCTGTAGTCAAATACTAGTACCTTACGAATATTCTATACTCTTAATAACCACATTTTGCAGCCATAAATTAAAACAGAACGAAGTGCTGCACAGTATACTCGTCCCTTAATTGACAGACGGATATCTCGCCTCCGCCATAGGTGACGTAAGTTGGTAAAAGCTAAACCAGCTTTTCGCGCCCGTGCTGAGATTTTGTCAGATTTCTGTAAAAGATTAGTAGCATATCATCATCTCAAAGGTGATTATTCCGAGTGTGGACAGCTATTGGTTAACTGTTTATAAATAAATCAATTTTATTGTGAATAACCTGACGAAAATGCAATAGGTATGTTTATCCAAATGTTAGCTTTCGTCTATAGACAACGATATGTAGAGCTGTTTTATGAAGAACATGTTTGAGATGAAAAAGATTTCAAGAATGAGGTAGATGGTAGCTGAGAATCTCCTAAGAAGCAGATCGGATCGATACACATCATTATCAAGTTCTAGAACGCTTATAAGTGAATATGATTGATTGACTATAGGAATCATTAGATGAAATAATGATGCGATTGGTGATTCTTGTGAGATTCTAATCCACAATAGCCAGTGTCACAGTTTCAGAAGTTTCCTTTGAGCTATTTGGATCGTGACTATTCTCCGGTAAGAGCGGAATATTTACTAATGCCATCTTTGTCTAGTCTATAATGTTGATCGAATTTTATTGATCAAACTGTGATTTAGTATTTTGTTAGATAACAAATCTACGACCAGTGTAATTACATTCATGTATATAAGTGGATGATGTAATAGCATTTGAAGCGAACAGTACTGTGTTCGAGCCCCGGAGTGAATATCAACTCTGGGATGCAGATAAATCCAGCTGACGAGTCCAAAATAGGACGGAACGCATATCATGGATTCCACTACCAGCCACCATATATCTTTGCTTATTATTCTTATATTAGTAATGGTCATTTGATTATTTACAAAATGAGTATTACGTGAACGATTATTCTAGAGTTCACAATAACAACAAATAAGCAAGTTTCTGAACATTAAATAAATAGTTAAAAGGGTACATAAGCTTAAAACTATTTACATTAAATAGTTTGAATTATTTTCTTCTGGTTGAAGTTTTTCGAGCAAGTTAGTGTTAAACAGAAACTGGGGTCGCTAACCCCATGCTCAACCCTTCTCCTTTATTCGAACTTACGACCGGTAGTAACCCTAGATGGGGGCTCCAGGCGGGTCGGCAAAGCAAGAGCAGCATATCTAGAATTGAAGAACATCTGGAACTCAAAACAACTCTCTATCAGCCAACATCAAGGTCAGAATTTTTAATGACAATGTCAAAACAGTTGTACTCTATGGGGCGGAAACTTGGACAACAACGAAAGCTATCATCTACAAGATACAGGTGTTTATTACCAATTGTCTACGCAAAATACTTCGGATCCGTTGGCCAGATACTATCAGCAACAATCTACTGTGGAAGAGAACAAAACAGATTGCATCGGAGGAAGAAATGAGGAAGAAGTGCTGAAAGTGGATGGGATACACATTGAGGAAAGTACTCGAGTGCGTGACAATGCAAGCGCTCACTTGAAATTCTCAAGTTCAAAGGAGAAGAGGAATTTTAAACAACACGTTACTTTGAGAAATGGGGACAGATTTTAGAAGAATGTACAAAAATTGGATAGAAGTAGAAAGGAACATTCAAGACAGAGTGGGTTGGAGATTGGTGGTCGGCGACCTATGCTCTATTAGGAGTTACAGGCGTTAGTAAGTAACTCATCTCTTTCTATTATATGAAATAAAAGTTCCTCCCTTTTGAATTTCGCGCAAGACGCTTTACTCGATTCTGATTGGCTCATTCCTACACTCCTTACAATTTTAACTATAAGATTTGCAGTACGTGATATTAAAATGCAAATGTGTATACGTTTCTATGATTTAGTGTAAATGGAAGTAATACTATACTTTACAAATATGAATATATATCACACGTTTCCATCTTTTCTAACTTGTAGATTTTTGATTGAGATCACAAATCGATCAATGTTAGAGCATTATTGAAAACCTGTAAGCACTGGTTGACCGTCTCTTCCTAGTATGAGATTGTTCAGCAGTGTATATCCACGATCCCACACACATGATTCGAAACAGACATCTAGTGCCTCCAGGTTTTTAATGGAGCTCTAATATTCAACGATTCATGATTTCAATCAAATCTCAACAATCACCAAAATCTTATACAGAAAGGGAAACGGAAAATTGGAAGGCCAAAGAACACACTACGTTGGGAATTAGAAGCAAACATCAAATGGATGAATAGCAACTGAATACAGTTGTAAAAGATTGTTCAGGATAGAGTTGGATGGAGAATGCTGATGGATGGCCTATACTCCATCACGAAGGGTAACAAACATAAGCAAGTAAGTAAATAAGCTTAGAATAGATTCTTTTATGTGTGGTAGAGTTTTAGAACAGTGGTGAGACTATAATTTATGGACGAGTCAATCAGAACCGTTTGATGGATTTCAAGGTCAGAGCGCTAATTTCAGTACCTGATACTCACGTACGATCAGTTCACAGCGGAATTTAGAAAAAACGTGATAACTGAGCGATTACAACAAATGGGGCTACTAAGAAGTTCCTTTACTTGTAATTTTGTTAATCACACTTGTGAAAACTACCGTGATGATGTTGTCTTTCGAGGTAATATATGTTGGAGGAAGAAGTTTGTTAGAATAGGTTTTCGTCACTCGATCCAGATTGAAACTAAGGCAAATTTCAAACTGGAAAATGAAAGCACCAGCAACACTGGCTACAGCCGTGTACTACAATATATACGGATGATTGGAGAGAGTATAGATGCCTACATAGACTTGATTATGTGCATCGTGTCGTTATCCACAAGTGACATTTTGTGGACCTAACAACCAGAGTGCACACAAACAATATTGAAGCTAAGTGGTCGAGATTGAAAGAGTTTTCGAGATCTCACCATATCTCCAGAGGTCAACTATTATAGAGCTATATAGATGATTTCCTCTACCGTATGCATTACGACTTTAGATAAGTTTTTGAACCATATAAAAGAGTGTATTCACTTTATTTCTTTGATTTTTTATAATATACTTTGACTTTATACATACTGTTTTCTGATGGCGTTTTGTTCTTTGAGCTGGATGGTTTGGTCATCGTTCTTCTGAACGACATCATCAGCACAGACTTCAGATAGAAGTGAAGTGTTCAAATTTCTCCATATGCATTTCACAGATTGTTCTGTACACCTCGACGTCCAACTGAGCTACAAATCTTCTCCACCATCTCAAGACCGTTTTCTGATTGGCTAATATTTGAATAAGAAAGATTAGTTCAACGTTGTGGAGATTGTTAAGTTTTTGATTGAGATCATAAACCGACTGATGTTGCACCACCATTGAAAACCTGGAAGTACTGGATGGCTGTTTCGTCTTATTGTGGAACTCCTCAGCAGTGCACACCCACGATCCCGCTCGTGGGATTCCAACCCAGGGCCTTCAGTCTCGCACGCGAACGCCTAACCTACTTGACCACTGAGCCGGCATTCAGTGGTGTTAGTGTCTATCTTATACCAATCCACGAAATTGCGTGACCATCTTTCATTGTACTGAGATAGATACCTATCTCTACCTGATACGGATTCGTTCCATTGGTCACGGCTTCTCACTAGAACTCCGAGAATTCCTTCATGAAGCTAGTCACTAGTGAGCATTAAGTTTTTGATTGAGTTCATGAACCGATTGAACCGATTTCTCAGGATCACTTAAGATTCGTTCAAAGGTCATCCATAAACAAATAATTGTTATGACAAAAAAAACCACACAAAAAAAACTATTAACTTACTATGACAAAATACTTCACGATTATGATCACATGCAGTACCACGATCAAGAAGACGTTGACAATCATTACATTTAAAGCATAAACGATGAAATACTTTACCAACTGCATCTATTCTTTCATTTGCATAAACAATATCTGAACAATTTGCACAATGTGTTGAATTACAATTTCCACTAGACCATCTTATACGAAATGGACGTGGAATATAATTACCACTATGTTCTAAATGAGTTAAACGATCTTGTGAATGATAATCTTGTGATTGACTATAATATTGACTAGATTAAGATAATGAAAGACTTACTTTATCATTGGACTATGAGAATGTGAATAACCATTCATTTTAGTACAATCTCTGTAGAATAGTAAAAAAAAATAGAAACAGAGGGATAGTGAGATACTGGAGAAGATTTGTAGTTCAGTTAGATGAATTCTGTTAGAGTTTTATTCTCTGAGCTGGATGGTTTGATCATGGGAGCTTTCATCGTTCTTTTGAACGAAATCTTCAGTACAAATGTTAGGTAGAGGTGAAGTGTTCGAATTTCTACACATGTGGTTCACATCAAAGATCTACAGTACAAGTTGTGAACTATATGTATAGAAATTCGAACACTTCACTTCTACCTGAAGTTTGTGCTGATGATGTTTCTCAGAAGAACGATGAAAGCTTCATGACCAAACAATCCAGCTCAAAGAACAAAACTCCATTAAAATAGAAGAATAATTTTTGAAGATTTCTAGAAGGATTAATTCTTTTGTTGAGACTGTAATTTATGGACTAAAATGATCTTGGAACGTCTATCTAATGACTAGCGTTATAGATTAGTGTGAGGAATTAGAATTCAGATTTATGATTAAACTTTAGAGTAAGGAATTAGATTTAGTATTTTCATCAGGAACTGACATCAGTTATAATGTCAAAACCTGGTGGCACTAGACGGCCGTTTCCTTCTAACATGGGACTCCTCAGTAGTGCGTATCTACGATTCACAAGACTCCTCTCTAATTATAACTATCATATGCTCACTGGTGAAGGTTTCCAAGAGGTATTTCCTGGAGTTCTAATGAGAAGCAATGAATATTAAAGTTCAACCGAGTCTGTTGTAAGATATTAACTCACTGATGACAATGGTGAACGGTGGCTCAACTTTGTGGATTGATTGAAGTTAAATATTAACACTGGTGGATGCCAGCTGGCTCAGTAGTCTAGGGGTTAAGTGTTCGGTTGCGAGACCAATAGGTCCTGGGTTAAAATCTCTTGAGGTGGGATCGTAGATGCACGTTGCTGAAGTGTTCCATAATAAGACGAAACGACCGTCAAGTACTTCTAGGTTTTCCATGATGGTCTAACTTCAATTGACTCATGATCTTAACTATTAAATTACTACAATCTCAACATTAGTTAATGAACAAAAAATGGGCGTTATATAAAAAGAGATTCAGTTATACATTTAGACAACCATTCTCATTTAGATGATGAGTAATTATAGTTTGCTATGAATTCCACCCTCGTTTATTGCTCTGATTTATTCATTAATATATATATATAAACTGTTTTGCTGAAAAACACTGTGGAGGGAAGTTATAAAAACATAAATTTACAAACTTCAATACAGATTAGTACAGTCCTGAAATTCGTCAGGAATTACATTTTCCACTTGCCTTGTCGTTGATTTTACATTTTCTCATTTACTTATTGTCTAAGTACTACTTCGCTCCCGAATGCCCTGGTACGACCGAGTGTGAGAAGATCCAGCTCTTCCTCTCCAAATGCTCTCACATGGCCACGTGCATACAACCATTACCAGGGAAGTCCTATACACTGACTTCTTGTGGAGGGGGTGTTGTATACGAAACTGAGAGGACAAATGGCGAATATCCGGTGCTTTAACCGAGTTGGTGAATATGGAAGATCCACCGAGGGAAGTTGGAAAACTCTCATCCAAAACCATTGGTGTATATGGGATCCAGGATCCCAAGAAAACCAATGGCGTATGAACCAATTGTTGGTGACGGACTACCATGAAACTGGATCTCCCAACGTTTCCCCACTGCGTTGTAGATTAGACCTTTAAGTCAAAGGATCGATATATGGTCCCTTAAAGAAACCACCTGCTTCGGATTTCATAAACAGAAAACTTGTCGAAAGTTAATTGTGATGATTAGACTAAATGATCTACAATAGTGATTGAATTATGGTTCAATTATGAATAACAACTTCTATCTAGCTGAGAAAGTATATTTCTTGACTTTGGAAAGAAATTACAATGTTCATTAATTAGTACCAGAATGAAAACATGCCATTAAGATCAATAACAACTCAAGTTGTCATACGTTTTAATACAAGACAATTGTAGCTATTTGAGTCGCTTATCTCATGTACTAAGTAGTATACTAGTTTTGTAAAGGCATATCTATCAGATCAAATGATTACTTTAAACCAGTTATCAAACAAATTGTGTGTTTTTTTATTATTAACAATTTCAGTAGTATGTAGGTTAGAACAATACATACAACAATATTATTTTGTACTAGATCTTCATCGGACTTTACTCTAATATACATGAATATATATACATGGATGGTGGCTAGAAGTGGGATCAAAGACGCATGTTTCATTCTAATTGGAACTTTTCATCTACATGTACCTACAACCCAGAGTTGATGTTCGCTCTGGGAATTGAACTCAGTACCGTTCACTTTAAAGTTCATTGCGTTATTCACTTGGTTTATTCATTTGAAGTGAATGGTACTGGGTTCGAGTCCCAGAGTAAACATCAATTATCGGATGCAAATACATCTAGTTGACGAGTTCCAAATAGTACGAAACGTGCGACATTGATTCCATTGCTAAACACCATCCATCTTTGCTTATAAAGCTTGTGATTTAAGGCAATCCACACAGGATGCACATATGCCAATGTGATACTGATCAATTGAAGTCCTAAACAACAATGATAAGATATAAGCAAATAATATCAAGTGAATATATATGCACATTTGAGAAATAACAAACTAATCAAAGTAATTCGAAAGTCAATGATAACAATGAAATAGAATACGTGATTCATCATAATAATTAGTAGGTACACGTTGATAGTGAAATGACAAGTGTGTTAATTGTGAATGAATAGTAAAGAGCATGATAGTATGAATAAATCTACTTAAATAAGAAGTAGGTCAAAGTTTGAAGAAACAAACAGTCAATTTATGCATATAAATGTTAAAGAGGAGAATAGGAACTAACAAATGATAGATATTGACGAAATCTCGGAACGGATACAGAAGGCTCGACTAGTTTTTGCTAACTTGCATCATTTATGACGTAGACGAGATATCTGTCTACTAACCAAAGGAAGAGTTTACTGCGCAGCAGTTCGTCCCGTCCTATTATATGGCAGTGAAACATGTCCGGTAAGAGTAGAGGATATTCTTGGGTTGCTAGTATTCGATCATCGGTGTCGTCGAAACATTGCTCGTATATCCTGGGACCACTGAGTAAGTAATGCAGTTGTTAGGAAATGGGTACTAGGTAAGGATGGCAAATCAATTGATGAAGTAGTGAAAATTCGTCAGTCAAGATAGCTGGGACATGTGTTACATATGGCCAACCACCGACTGCTCCGACGAGCGATGTTTTCTGGTGTAGGAGTAGGTTGGGAGAAAGCTAGGAGCGGCCAGATCAAAACATGTCATAAATCCATGATGTCACTGGCAAGTGGTCTGAGACATGTTGGTAGGTGTAGACTTTATGGTTGCGATCTGCAAAACGATAGCAACCGATGTTTAGAGACCTTGGATGTGACATGGCTCGAAATCATTTGCAATGGCACAGGTGCATCCATTCTTTGTGTTCTCCCAAATTCCAATTTTCTCAATTCTTCATGTCCCTTATTTTCTTTCCAAATTTATTTCACTGGTTTATACTCTTTAAATAACATCTTCAAACCCTAATGTTTCCGATAACTGCTTATACTTTCATTATCTCTACCACTATGGGATTTGAATCGACCACTGCATCTCTGTGCTAATGTAATATGGCAACTCGAACCGATGTACGAACGTACGAGGTTCTACGTTGTTGCTGACTGACTGACTGTTAGGTTTGATTTCAGATAAAGAAAAGGACTGAGACATTCGGAACCTTTTTTGAATACGAACTCTGATGTTGTTAGCTTGAGTCATTATAGGTTCTGTCCTAAGTAAGTGACTGTCGTAACTAATTTTTGAAGACTCTGGATGACGTAGCTCAGAATCGATCACAATGGTGTAGGTGTATAAACTCTCTGTCTTCCCTTAAACTAAGAGATTAAAATCGCTTCATATCTTTCTGTCTACGAACTAATTCTTTCTTCCTGTGCTATGTCCTTATATGCCATCTTTCTTTTATATATTACCACCATTGATGTAACTACTTATATGAATCCGGTGTTGATCTTGTTGTTCTAATGAGGTATGAAAACTTGAACCGATGCATATATGCACGTGGTCCTACGTTGTAGCTGACTGACAAGAATGAACTTTATATGAAAAATGTTTAATTAATCGCTTTGAATGCTACTAATATGACCAATCTATTGACCAAGTTGGATAAGATAGAGTTACACATTTGTTATGCTTGAAACATTACGAACCTTTTTAGAATACTGAGTAAGATGTCTTGTATTATTATGGATGTAACTTTCTTCAAAGAAGTATTGAAATTACCAAATTTATAATGGTGTACAAAAAAACAAATAAATTGAGCCTAAGTTGAGGTGTGATTTGTGCTACTTATATCGACGTAAGTAGTGTATAACGCGAGTTTGGCAGTAGAAGATTGAGAAAATAGTGAAGGAAAGAAAGGAAACAGAAAGCGATTGGTATGGAAATGGAGGAACAGGCAAGTTTAAGACAATTGATTGACATTTTGCAAATGAAGTATGGTTCTCAGTTTTTAGTACAGTATTCTGTAATTTAGTGTTCAGATATAATCGGTTGTCCTCACCTATATTCTCCTTCACTACAGAGGGATAATCATTGGTCAACTAGAAAGTGCGTAATGGAGATAATTTCACGGTTTCATCTACCTGGTTATCATATCTGTTCATCGCCTTAAAGTACATACATAACTTAAACGAACAGTAATGTTTTGAGCTAATAAATGTTTCGTTTCTAACGTGCACAACTTTAAAGATTAGAACCTTGCGAACTTAGTCTCTTAGCTGATTACCACTGAGGACAACTACTGTATAATGTGTAGGTTTTGCATGGTGAATATGTTCAGGATAAGACGAGTAAGTAACCCACAGCTCTAAATGCCCTAGTACGGTTGAGATTGAGGAGTGTCAGCTCTCCCTCTCCAAACGCTCTCACATGGCCACGCGTATACAGCCGCTACTAGGGAAGTCCTATTCACTGCCTTCTAGCGATGGGAGTGTTGTTTACGAAATCGAAAGGACGAAAAGTGAATTTCCGACAGGGGAATAAACCGGGTTGGTGGACAAGGAGGTTCCACCTAGGGGAATCGGAAAACCCTCATTCCAAATCAATGGTGCACATGGGCTACAGGATCCTGAGCGAACAAATGGTGTATAAACCAATTGATGGTGACCTGCTACCATGTGACTGCATCTCCTGACGTTGCTCCACTGCCTTGTGGATCAAGTCTTTACGTCGAAGGCTCTGGGTGTGATCCCCTAAGAAAACCACGTGCTTCGACCTGGACACACGGGCAGTATCACAGCTCACACACAAATCAATTGACTTGTGTGGTGCATATGTTTGGTGCCCTTTTCTACTAATATTAATGTGTTCAAGTAAATAATAAATAAAAATAATCTACTTCTCTCATGGTAATGACTTTAGTCCCCTGATGTCAGTTTCTGATGAATATCACTGAATCAAATATTTCTACTTCACCAAAAGATACCATAAATGATGAATAGTTGTACTCCCTGCTAAACGTAAGTTTTTTTCAGTTGTATTCCTTTTAAACCGATTCTTCTGACTGCATGAATAATTTCAAAGGAAAATTATGGGGATGCAGAGTGATCAGAATGAAATGGATGAACCAGTATTAATATTTCCGTCCTTAACATCTATCAAGCGAACAGCTGTCTCCAAATTTAAATTGTTCATAAGCCCTTTGATTATTGCTGCCATTCAGTCAAAAGAAACGTAGAATGTGGAGCATGTGTATATCAGTATAAGTTACCATACTCTCTTAACGCAACAAAATGGAATCTTCATAGTAAATAATAGAGCAGTGAAGGTAGTTATGTTATTAATAGTTACAAAGAAGACTAGGCACCAAAGACCTGATTCTGGAAGAAAATATAAATTTGTGAAATAATGTAGAGGTTTTGGGGAAAGTAGAAACTCAAGGTCTAAAGAAAGACTACGAGTGAATACACCATTGCATATGTGAATGATTTTGATCAGTGCTACCAGAAGTACCCAAAAAGTAACTACAATGGCCATGCGAACTTTAATCAGGTAGTCTACACCTAATTACATGACTGAATTCAACAATCAGTGTTTCCGTGAACTCATGCTATTTCTTAGTTTGGCTTTCCCTAGATTTTTTCCAACCTACTCCTATATCAGCCATCCTTACGTTTCTAGGTAGTTGGCAGATGGAAATACGCACTGCACATCTAAACCACTACACAATTTCCTTCCAATATCTGGTATTTTCAAATAAGTTATAGCACGATATCACTTAAATGTTTCTCAGTATTCGACATTATTTTGTTTTATTATAGACTGCTATTCTGAGTGGATAAACTAACTATATATACGATTGTACTGCTTAATCAAATAAAATCATCGAAAAAAACTATTTTATTCCCCGAATTAGTTTTTATACTTGTTCACTGATATAACAAATATCTTTTATGATTTGAAAATTCAGAATTATTTGGATATTGTGATTTAATTGTTTTATAGCTTAAAATTTTTTCCCAATTTAGACAGAACATGAATAGATGTATACTGAATAATGCCTCCAAATGCCTTGGTACGGACAAGAGTGGGGAGAGCTCGCTCTACCTCTCGAAATGCTCTCACATGGCCACGTGTATATAACCTCTGCCAGGGAAGTCCTACTCACTGCCCTTTCCTGGCGGGGGTGTTGTTTACGAAAATGAGAGGACAAAAAGCGATTGTCCGGCGCTTTAACCGGATTGGTGGACATGGTGAGTCCACATAGGGGAGTCGGAAAACCTTCATTCCAAAACAATGGTGCACATGGGCTCCAATACCCTGAAGGAACAAATGGCGTATGAACCTATTGTTGGTCACTGGCTACCATGGGACTGCATCTTCTTACGATGCTCCACTGCCTAGTGGATCAGACCTTCAAGTAGAAGGCTCTGGATGTAGCCACCTGAGAAAACCACCTGCTTCGGTTTGGGCACCTAGGCAGTATCACAGCCCTCACACATATCAAATGAGATTTGTGTGATGCATATGTATTTGGTGCTTTCTTGTACCAATATCTACGTGTTCAAATAAATAAACGCTGAATAATATACACCCATAGTTTCGGCTACACTTTATTGGGAGACCTTTTTTGAAGAGAGTTGATCATACTATTCAACTGCCTAAATTCTAGTATAATAAAATTTCACTCAGTAGCTCATTGGTTAGAAATTGAAATCTCCAATATGTGGTCTAATGTCTTAAAAAAAGCGAATTTTATTTTATTATCTATGTAATTTAAAATATAACTTTTCTGAAATTATTGGTTTTGTCCTTTTGTCACATTGACATACAGTGGAAAGTTATTAGTTAAAAAGTTTAGACAACACATTTTAGGCTCAAACTTGTCATACCTTCTGCAGTTTGAACAACTAAACACGTATAACAAAGTCAGTAAATTTGAGAATTCTAATTAAAGCATCGGTTCATCCAAAGTTGCAGAAGCACTTTGCTGAAGGATATCAACTAACATGAAACTTGGACTGGACAAAGTTTCACATCGACCACTTTAGACTACTTAACCTTATTTATTTAGGCTTTAGTTTATAAGTTTCACCACAAAAACTTTATATCTCTCATAAGCTTAGCGAGACGTTTGATAAAAATACCGGGTAAATACAGCTTTCTAAGACCCTGTGTTCCTTGCTTCAATAAAGAAAAATACATGAATTTGAAATTGTTTTCATGCCTCTGTTTTGTAATCAGAGAAAAGGTTTCTTTCCGACACAACATAGACTAGTATTTATTGGTGGGTGATGAACATGATTGTGGTCAGATATCTGTATTCATCACCCTCCATTCAAATAATATTTTCAAGTCTTTATTTTTGAGACGAAACCAGTTGCTGATTTTTCATCCAGTGTAAATTTAAAATCGCCCTTCCAACTGCTGTTAACATAGCCGATAAACTCTCTCTTCCACACTGTGTATGCATTCTAATCATCCCCTCATAATCCATCTAGTGGAAAAGCATGAACCTTACTGAAATTACAGGTAACTGCTCGAACGACATAATTATCAAAATGACATAACCACAGATGTTACGAACCAAGTTTTTTTCAGTTCTTATAAGTGATTGGTGTCGTAAACGGTGTGTAGAGCATTTAAGTTTACCACAATAGTGTTTACCGCCCATTAACGCTTTGCCAGGAACTTAGACAAATTTAGTTTTAGACACATTTTTAAACAATATTCTACTATATTACAATTATTAAGTTAACTTATTCATGATCAATTTTGATGATAGTAACTATCATTGGAGGTGTCATTTTTGAGCTTTTCTCAAGTTCTTTTGTGTGTACTAGTTTTTAAAACTGATGAACATTATGGAAAAGATGCAAAATCAAGATAAGGAAGCTAGAAATCTCGATTACTTACCAAGCAAACTTGAGAAGTTCTATTTACTTGCTCCTTTAAAGGTTCAAAAACGTACTAAAAATGTTTCCACTTATAAGTTTGGTAAACCTAAATTATTTCATAATTGCATGAAATACTTAAAACACTACCAACAAACCTTCACTTCAAATTGCATAAAGATTCAGAAATTCATAAACAATGCGTATTGATAGACGATTACTGAATGACAAATAACATCACTATAAGATATTCATGTAGTTACAGTAAATAACTTGTCTGGTATGTACTGAACATCGTCAATAACGGACCTCGAGAGCGGCGATCGTTGCACCTGCTTACTTCTGCATTCAAGGCCCTCTAGATTGCTAATTACAATATACTGGCTTTTATCTTTGTAAGTTCATTTAGTCTTGTCTAAAAACAGTAGGTCAGCAGAGTAAAAGCATTTATGAATTGAGAATATATTTCAGTCTTTGAACTTAGATTATTTTCTCACATCCTGACAGAATGCAGTGTCACAAATGTGTGAATGTACATAGTGAATCACTAATTTTTATGTTCGGAATTATCGAATTACCAGTGTATGCCATTATACAAAAACAAGTAAGCTTTCAAGAGGAAACTTGAAGCCGGAGATTATGTCTTAAACTGTTTTAATAATTGTTATTACCGGTGATATTTTATATATGTTACAAGGAGGAAAATTCAAAACAGTTGAAGATCGCCATAAATGGAAAGAAAAAATCTACTTACCGAAGATCATAAGTACTTCTCATTAGTGTGCTATTCGTTGAAAAACCATAGACATTTGGTCCGTAGTTCTTTGCATAGCAATTTTTGCAGTACAAAGAACCCTTGTGATCATTTGCAGTAAAACTGTCTAGAGCTTTGGAACATTGACCTATAACGAAGGTCAGTCAAAGGCCATAATCTTACAGCATTTGAAACATTGTTTATGAAATGCACGACCCATAGCCCTTGCTTCTTCTGCAAAATAAACGTTTTTTGAGCAAACAGGACATGATATTGGTTCGAATCTGTTTTTCATCATTAATTAATCAGCTATGAAGTAAATCGAAAGAAACCCATGTATTTTGAATGAAGCACAGATACACAGGACATGGCAATTCAAGGTTGCTTGTTATATTGAACAGGTAAAACAGAATAAGGGTTACAATAATTGTGAACAAAGACACTCGAACTTGTCCCTATTTAACTTTATGTCTAAGATTGTAGTATTTTTCATCTTTGTGTCGCATTCAGTGAGAGCGAATTCTGAAGGATTCAAACGAAACTATCTGAAGTACTATAGAATTAAGTGAAGTCTGAGGCTCAGCTGTTCGTAGGAAGAAAAATACTCAGTCCGTAGAATGACCAGCAATGCCATATTTTTACCTTTTTTATTTTCTGTTTTCTGTTAATAGTCACAACAGTGACGCTGATTTCCGCCATCAGTTTTCTCTGGTCTTTCTTGTCGAAATAAGTCTATTTATTGCACATTTTTTGACATTAAGTAATACCATTCTCCAAATTATCATGGTGCTCTCAACAGTGTTTTTATCCATAAATATCCAACTGATCTTTTTGTCTCTTGAGTCACTACGTTCTGAAAAAAAGTATTATTTTTCCTCTCAACACATCTCCTAAAACCAACTTGCTTTTCTTCAGATTATTAACTTAAACACTAAAGTTATATTATATTTAAGGCTGTGAAAGCTTTTTGTGGTTATTAAAAGTATTTAAATTATTGTGGAACTATGAATCCCAGAAATAACCAAAAACGACTAGATGGGCACAAACGAAAGTATTGTATTTGGAGTTCGAAATTAGGCAATCATCAAGTACAAAGGAATCATTAGTTCGTACGAGCATCACACTTTTCTTTATTTTTTTAAAGCATAAAATGCTCCTTGAATCACACGTTCAAAATGCACGATTATATTTTGACGGACAGCAAGATATGTGATGATGAGTTTGAATTTACAGTTGACAGAACTTTGACTTACAGTTGGGACTGTATAGCTCAGCCATAGAAAAGTACACTGATATCAACACCATAACTGAATCCCACAATGTCCTGAAACCAAGTTATTTTAACTTCTGCATATTTTCGAGTGAGATAATAGAGGGTAAGTTCCAGCAATTTCGAAGTTCGAGATGGTTATCTGCTAGTTATAAGTAAACACAATTCAATGGATGGACTTCAAGTATACTGCTGGCTATCATTATAATGCGTTTAGACATTTCTTTAAACTGATCGAAGGACAGCTAGAGACATGGTACATAGTTTTGGTATAAGAAATAAAAATGTCTTGGCTCCTGCGCTCTGTGAAATCTCAGCGGACGATATGAGATGTCATAATGACTTCATGGAATGTCTAAACAGCTGGTGTGTAGTAGCAAAGGGCCCTAACCACACAATCCCTAACGCTGATTACTAGACAACTAGGAAACTTGATATTCAATATTTAACGCGGAGAAAATCCCAACTATGGAGAAGGCGGGAAGAAGGAATCGAATTAATTCGAGTTGACCGAATGGCATGGCTTTGCCTTGCAGGCGTGGTCTCTATTGGATGTTACCTTATATCTTCTACTCATATAAAATATATTGTTCTATCTCCAGCCTAAATGTGTTCTCCATCATACATTGATAATTGTTACGATACGATGTGTCAGTGTAGACAGTTATGTGAATTCCATGTCAGATCTTATAGATTAAGCAATTACATCATGATTAGTTCACAATTTTAGGATCAGGTCTATTATTAGCGTAGTACTAATATCATAGTAGACCATAATTCTACAAGTGCTCATGTATGAAAAAAGCAGAGAAAAGGGAATCGATAATGATGAACAAAGGCAGCTAAGCAATACTGACCAACTATTTTTTCAAATATTCTATACAATTAGCCAGAGTTTTTAGCCACCTAACTCGGGTACTCTTATACCGAAACTATCTAACATTTTAACGATCACATAGTCTATGTCATGTAACTTGGTATCTAAGACATCCCACAACCTATTGAAAGAATAATGCCTCAACAATCTTGGTCATACTTGATAGGTAAAAGGGATAAAATAACAATGCATACCGAAAATGGACAAGCTTCTGCACGCGCTACAATTAGTCCAATCGGAATCGTCAAATCTGATTCTGATGAAATAATTTAGCATTTCGTGACCAGTCTTTCGAGTTCAAGATGTGCATGACGTAAAACAGTAACATAATTGCAGTTCGTAGTTATCTAAGTAACTTGGGGTAGTATCATTTGACACCATCGCCGACAGTAGGAGACTAAAATGGCAAAGACGTTTTCTCAAGATTTTTCATTAACACATCTCAGCGAAGAAACTGTTCCGAAACCACAAAAATGATGGACTTTATTCTGGATTCAAGATACAGTCACTGACCACTTAATAGCCAGAGTTCCTTGACAAATTTAAAAACTTTAACTATGATACTAAATTATATCCATCCCTTCCCTGGTATTTGTTAGGCTTTTGATTTAACGGCCTATTCGCACCCTCAGTCTAATTATTAGAGTTCATACTCAACACAGAAATGTAGCCACAAAATGCCTAGAACAACCTCGTCCCCCATTCCGTATTTGCGTGATTACTTCCAAATATTCCCTTCAACCCTATCTATTTTCACTGAATATATGTTGAATCACACGGTCGATTCCTCATAAGGTATAGGATATATGTATTGCTTCGACTCTGCATCCTTGCTCTTTCTACATGTCACCTCACAAACATAAAAAGCACGTAACGTGATGTTTACTTCTTAGTGTGGTGCTCTGGTGGTAGAATCTATGGATACGACAAAGCACACAATAAATATATCAGTTCTAGCTGTCACTAACACTGTGACTTTCAAATTGTGACTCATTTTTGATATCAGTCACCCATTTACTATGTTACGAGTCCATTTATGACTACAAATGTTATAGCAATAAAAATGAGTTATAATAAATTTGACAAAGAATAAGCAAATTAGCATTCGAACACTTTATTCTCCTCACTAAATTTAAAAAATACATATTATCCTGAACTTTTAGCTCTTTTGAACCGTTTTCACGTGTACATTACTTTGCTCATTGAACACCATACTGTGGTTTGTTTTCTTTAACCTGATTAAATATGATTGCTTGGAAACTTACCTAATAAAAGAGAATGAGTTTAAGTGGTAATATCCTAGCTGTTTCGTTACAAGTGATTAAACTTCACTAGTCATGAACACCGTCCGTTATGCTTTCCGCCCCTCCCTTTTTATTTTTCAGTTCCCTCATGTTATACCACCGAAAGCATCTGTGGAACATACGACTTTGTCCTGCGCCATCACTTTTACCTTGGGAATTCATCTGGGATCACCATCAAGAAGCCCGAGCCAATGCACCCAATCTAACGTTTTTGAGTGGCTACCCTGGACTTTAATCCTATTAATTCTCGACCACCAACTGCTTGTCAGTATCAAATGCAATGATTCAATCAAATAGCAGGTGACAGGATGTACCTATAAGTGTCGTACTTGTAAGCAGTGCTATTCATTAATGATGCCGGATTCCGTTATTAGAAATTCACTAATTATCCTCACAACTGGTGCAAACGCTGGAGGTTAGAGCTCAACATAGAGAAATGCGGCTGGTTATGTATAGGAGACACGTCTCTTAAAATAAAACTAACACTTAGCGATCACACACTGCCCAGACTGGCATCAGTAACTGACCTAGGGGTACATTACTCACACAGTCTTAATTTCTCTGAACACATCTCAGCCAAAGCATCCAAAATGCGGAAATTGCTTGGCTTCATTCTCCGTAATTTCCATCAAAATGAATCTAAAATCCTTCTTTACAAAGTTTGTGTAAGACCTATCGTTGAATACTGCTCGTTCTTATTTTCCAACCTACGCCTATCTGATATACTAAAGGTGGAAGGAATACAACGAGACTTCACCCGCAAAGTACTTAAGACTGACTCGGTCATTGACTACAGTTCTCGATGCCAAATCTTAGGAATAGCACCCCTTTGGGAGAGAAGGCTTAGGTCTAATTTGATTCTCTACTTCAAACTACTCAAAAACCTTACTTACTCAACATGTCAGATAATTCTTGCCCGAGATTCACATGAATACGGACTTCGAAACAAAGTATCTACGGTCAAAGTTGAGAAATACAGATCAAAAACTCGGGAAAACTTCTTCCTCACCAAGTATGCAATAATATGGAACAGTCTTCCCTCCGAGACTCGCATGGCAGATGAACTACATACGTTTGTGAAACTGCTTGATCAAGCCCTCACTCGCACTGATCTTGCACGTACGAACACATCTGCGCCCCACTCAGACATCATAGGCTCTCTCCATGTCTAGACCAAAATGGACTTCAAGTTCAGTTTGCCTTATTTTTCCTACTTTGCAGTTGTATTAATTACTTTTTCCACCCCATTTCTTCACTTGAAGTAGACAGGTAACTCACTGGACCTATCATTACTGCTAAACTAAACTCGGTCGATAAGGGACACTCACTACCACCCTAAAAAGTCAAGAGGACCGCACAATCGGCTGCCTACTACCAGTGGTCTTGCATCTATGGAACCTGTTACCAATCAACTGGTTAAGACAACCGAAAATAACATCGGCACCAAGATGCTGTGAGTTCCTTCCTGTTTACCCTGTATTAACTTTTTACTCTTCTGTACACTATGTTGACTAGCAATTAATATTATTTCTCCGCTCGTTCCCTTATCCACAACTCATATACTTCTATACTTTTTCCTCCTGCTTAAATAAACAACTATCCTACAATATACCCTTCTTAACGCTTATACTCTGTTTGGCATACTATAGACAACAGAGGCACTGCATCGATGCTTTACCCACAGTCCATAGCCTGTAACTGCCTGATAAGCTTGTAAAATGGTACTTATAGAAATAGTGCTTTCCAACAGGTTGTGAAACAGAGGATTGTGCGAGGTATGACGTATACACAAAAATAAGCCTAAATGAGCCTAACATCACAAAAGGAGGGAGGGTGGAGTTACTGAC